TTTGTCTGTGGAAGATGTTACTGACTGCGTGGTTATTACCAAGAGTTTCTTTTTTAAAATGCTAAACCCTAAGGAGTTAAATAACAAGTTAGGAAGAGGTTTGAAATCTTTTTGCAAGATTTTAGTTCTAGTTTTCCAGCTACATTTTTTAGGTGACAAGTACCAGAAATCCATCACATGACTGCTTCTAGGAAAGGAATCCAGTAAATGGATTTCCTTCTAAGCCCTTCAAAACAGATCCTGGTATAGGTACACAGATAGATATAGATACATAGATATATAGATATGTATATAGAGAGAAATTAGACACGATATATGTTAGACTATTTTTTCCCTCTTTTGAGCTATGTTATATTATTCAAGATTAAAAGTATGCCATTGGAAGGCTCCTGCTTTCTAAAATATATAAATTAATTTTTTTATTATACAGTACATACCTGACTTTACAGTTGTAGCTAAACATCTACTTTTGTTCTTAATGAGCCAGTACTGAAGTTGGGTATGGTAATCTCTACAGGAGACAGTTGTGGTGCCATAGATTCAGTTACTGGCACTTTGAAGCCTGGCTGCTACCACTAAGATTTGTAGTTTCCAAGGGAGTATCTAGGTGACATGATGTAATCCATTCCGAAGGGATTAGAACTTTCCCTGTTACCTATCTGCCGAACTCTTGTCAGCATTCTCCTTGGTAATTACCTTTTCTGTTCTGCTGTGGCTACTCGTGGGTCTTAGTTTTCATCTATATGGCTATGAAGAAAGTTATATAAAAAGAAATATGGTAATGATTGTAAACGAGAGTTGAAGACAGTCATTGCTATTAATAGTAGTATTTTAAATTTGCCCTGTAGGAATAAGTCTTGACTGGAGTGAGAAGAGGCCAGAGTTTGTTCGTGGGTTTAACCATCCGTGTGGCTGGTTTTGTGTTCCACTTAAAGACAGTCCAAACCAGAGTGTGTTGACAGGCTATATTCAGACAGATCTACGCGGAATGATTCCTCAGTCTGCGGTGGATACGGCCATGGCAAGCACCTTAACCAACTTCTACGGTGATTTACGGAAAGCCTTACAAAAAGCATAATATGTTCAGACTTGTACTGTGATCTTGGAATCAGCTCTTTCCTTTAGCTTCCTATTTCTGTATATCCCATAGAAGTGTTTGAGATGTTTTTGGCTTAGTACTATGGTATTTTATGTTGTTCCTAAAGTACATAGTTATTTAAAAGAGTACATAGCTATTTAAAGTATATAGCTATTTGAGAGCATTTTGATTTTCTTAAACATTTATTTGCACATTGTTTGGTGTGGCAGTGTGTTTATGAAATGGAGAACATGACAAAAATCCATAAAGAAGTAGAGAGTAGTTCTTTGGCCGTGAGTCAAGAAATTGAATAGTGCCTCTTGAGTATTTTGGCTCTTTGGAAATTAGAGAAAGCACAAGCTTTGTTCTCTTTTAGAGCTTCTTGAACATTTTATAAAATTTTTAATACTTTTAAAGGTACAGGTTAGTGCTTTAATTTGTTCTACGAGTTTGTCAGTATCTTGGGCAAAAGGAAAGAGCCCCTTTCTATATTTTATAAAGGTGAAATTCATTATCAATTGACTTGCACTACTTTAGGTATTGAAAATATAAAAAATGAGAGTACATATTAGTAACTATAAGTACAGTTTCAAATACAACTTTGTTTTGATACCTAGATGCCATTCTTTTGTAATACCTTAGAAAATACATTTGCTATTTATTGCATTGATTTTGGGAGTCTTGTAAAAATTCACCAAGTATGCACTGGGGATACAACACTGATTAACCAGCAGTCTGAGCTGGATGGAACGTCTGGTGGTATCCTGTGGTCAGCAATGGAGACTCGCTGTCTGGAAAGTCAAATTCAGTGTGTGTTCTGTACATGTTTCAGTTTTGAAAGTGTTTTCAACTCACAAAACGTCACAAACTCTATCATAAGCATTCACACTTGTGACGTAAGTTTAGTCTGGAACTATAAAAACGCATTGTTAGATTTAGCCAAATGCCTGGATAGGGCCCTTGATTCTGTGGCTGCCTTAAATGAATATTTGCTTAATGATTTTTAGCCTTCCAGATCATTCTTTGGCTCCTGAATTACCCATTTAGTGTACTTTTGAAATGAGAATTTGAGACAACTCAGTGCTCCCTGGAAAATCATAAGTGTGTGTGCATACGTGTCCTGTACATGCACACATCCTGAGATCTGTCTCAGTCCTCAGAATGTCAGTTCTTTATGTTACTGTTTCCATCACTTCATTTTTTTCTTGTTCGTTTTTTTCTTCCTCTTCTTTCTCTTTTCCTTTTCCTCCTCCTCTTCCTCCTATTCTTTTTCCTCCTCTTCTTCTTTTGACTACTATGGGGAAAAATGAGCTTTTGAAATGATTACACACAGCCAGGCCACAAAAACACAACACTTAGTAGTTCAAGCTCATGAAAATTTGATATGTATTTTACTTGAGTGTTTTCCTGAATGTAAAGAAAGAATTAGTGTTTTTTTTTTTTTTTAATGAAGTGGGAAAAAAAGCTGTTTTGTTGCTTTTTTATTACTATGTTGCTACTGGAGATAATGTTCAAATAACAAAAGTTGTGAGCATCAGGCTGAAAAGTAGTATTTCAAGACCTGATGGAAGCGATGTACAAAAGACTCTATTCTTAGTGGAAGTTTATCAACCAACTGATGCTCATTTCTAAATTGAGCATAACATTTGAACTGCTGGATTTCTCTGCTACATTTTTTCTTCTGCAATAAAGAATGAAAACTACCTTAGTTCTGAGTGACCAGTGGAACTGCTGTTAGTCCTAACTTCATCTACATTCCTTACTTACTAGTATAGAGCCATAAAGTATAGATATCTTACATTCTGTTATTCTGTTCAGGATGGTGAAGTGTCAACAGCATCCAACTTGAAAATGATTATAGGAGGTCTTGTTTGGTTTTGTTTTTACAAACAGAAGTATACATGATTTTAAACTCTGGAACCTTGTAATAATATATTAGGTATGTTATGTCAGATGTCATAATATAAAAATTTAACAATGCAGTGTGAGATTGATATTAATATATAATTGAATCTACTGTAGCAGTGCTGTAGGACAGAAAGCTAACCTAAGCCATATATAGAATTAAAAATATTCAAGCAGCCACTTTAAAAAATATAAACAATTGAAGTTAATTTTACAGTTCTATTTAACTCATATCCAAAATGGTGTCATTTCAACATGTAAGCAAGGTAAACAATTCTTAAGATAGCTTATATTCTTCTTTTATAGTATTTCCTTGAAATCTAATGTGTATTTTGATAATTTGGGCCAACTATGTTTTAAGGGCTTATTAGCAACATGAGGCCAGTAGCTGTTATAATGAATAGCATGGTTTCATAGTGTATGTATTAATTTGTCTTGCTATAAGACAAAGTAGACAATTTCATGGAATTACTCTCTTAAACAGAAATCTTTTCTACTCTCTAGAGCCTTGAGGGCTAAGTAGGACACCCAATAAAATAAAAATTATTTCCACAAAATATTTTCTTTTAAAGGAAAATAACTTAATAGAGCAGTTGAGGAAGTAAAATAATAGAATTTTGTTACTCTATGGTTACTTTGTGTAGTTTATAGCTGGAGTGTTCTAGAAACTTGTATATGTAGGAATTATTTGGCAGAGTACTGTTTTCAATACATAGTAGCTATATTTTTAAGGAAATTAGTTTTATACAGGAATTTTCATAAGTGATACTTGCATGAAACAATGTTGGGAGGTCATGATTAAGCAAAAATGATTGAGAATTTTAATGTTCTGTATCTAAATATAAACTGCTAGAGTATTAGAGATATTATAAATGTTAGAATGTCTCTTCATTTCAGTGTTCCTTGAGATTGGATGTGTTTGAAATTGTACATTGTCATGGGTAAGATTATGTCCCAATTAATAGAATTTTCTTTTTCTATCCTCTCTCCTCTTCCTTTTCCAACTGAAGGACTTTTTTAAAAAATAAACACTCAAGTTGAATTACATTAACATTTCAAGCTAAAAACTTCTCAAGGTTGCCTCTTGAGAAGATAGGAAAACTTTGCACAATTTAAGCCCCTGATCGTCTATTGAGCTTTTAGGTCTAAGTAATTCCCTTTCATATGAATAAAAATTTTACTTGTTTACTCAAGAGCATGCAGCATCCTAAGAATCAGGCATTAAGTCCAGTTTCTTTTAGTTAAATGGATACTGTAGCTTTTTCAACCAAGAGATAAATTAACAAAACCAAGAGAATGTAATAGAAATCTGGAATTGCCCAGATTGAAAAAGATTAAAAAGTTGTACATTTACTTGTCCAGTGTATCTCTTTTCTTTTCTCCTTTCTCTTTTCTTTGTAGTACCAGGGCCTTATGCATGCTAGGCAAGTACTCTACAGTAAGCATTGAGCTACAGCCCAGCCTCTGGTTGATCCATTCAGCTTCTAGAAGTAGGGAACAATGGGACCTCAACAGAGAAGGAACCGTAGATTAATCTCAGAGCACAACCTGCCTCCTAGCGCAGTAGACACGCGTCAGTCTCATAATCTCAGAGCACAGGAAGTGGAAATTATAATTTATTTTCACTGTATTGTTTCCAAAGATTTTATATATCTACAAGTAAGTATTAAATTCATCTCTTGCAATTCAAGAAAAGCTATACTATACATAGGTATTATTTTTAAAAAGTTTGTAATTCTTTTATGAACCAGTACATAAGTCTGGAATATTTAATAAGCTAATAAGCCAGGCATCTTTACCTAAAATTATGTATTCACGTAAATAAAATGTATATTTATTTTTAAATTGCTATGGAATATCAGAATAAAGATTTCTAGGCACTTGTAATTGTGTTGATTTTGTTTGTGTTAAGTTGCTGTCACTTTAAGTACTAACCAAATATTTACTTACTAGATGTTTAAAGTATGTAACTTGAACTGTAACAAAAGAAAAACATAAAACTAGAAAATAGTTAACACATCTGAATCTCCCATCAATATCTCATAAAATATTAGTCACAACTCTGCTGAATCTTTATTTGCTCTTGTATTAGTCAGCTTTGCACTGTTATAATAAACTACCCAAGGTAGTTAATTTAAAAAGTGAAACAGTTTATTTCGTCTCATAGTTCTGGAAGTTCTCGCCCAGCATCAGGTGGTCCCATACTTTTGACCTCTGGTGAGAGCACCATGTCATGACGGGAGTATATGGCAGAGGGACCCGCTTGCTTGCTGAGGTAGAAAATGAAGGGAAAGAAGAGACCAGAGTCTCACAGTCCCCATTAGGGCCATGCCCCAGCACCTGTGGCCTCGCTGGGCAGTGCCTTCCAATAAATAGCACCACACTGGCACTAACCTTTTAGCATATGAACCTCTAAGGAACATGCAGAATCCAAACTACAGCAACTATTCTATAGCTTGGGCAAATGAATGTATTCTGCCCTTACTACAAATAGCATAGTTAGGGTTTACTGTACACATGTTCCAATAAATGTGTTGTTTCAGAGTTAATGGATCATCTCATTTGGAAATCAGAGTTGCTGGAAGTAATGGCAAGGCCACCCACGATCCTGTACTCTAGCAATGAGAGACACTGGGGTGGTCTGTAATAGAATAAATGACTATGAAGTGGCTACATAAGGAGTTATTTTCCTCATTTAATTTAAAATCTGGCTCTGTGACCTAAATGCATGTGTTACCCCATAATTCATGGCAAAATCCCATCTCCCAAGATGATGGCTTCAGGGAGGCAGAGCGTGAGGAGGTGATTAGGTCACCCTCGTGAATGTATGTAGTGCCCCTTTAAAAGAGGTCCAAGTGAGACTCCTTGCTCCTTCTGCCGTGTGAGAACACAGAAGGAAGCGTGTGAGGAAGTTGGCCCTTATGAGACAGCACATCTCCAGGCACTTTGATCTTGGACATTTTCCAGAAATGTCCAAAATAAGTTTCTGTTTATAAAGCACCCAGTTTGGGCATTATAGCCACTGGAGTGGACCAAGACATATGGATACAAGTAATTGTTAACTATTTTTCAAAGCATGATGGCCCGTGTTTCTACAGCTGTGCTGAACTTTCCTTTGTAAAGGTAAGATAACTGACTAGCCCTGGAAATCACATAGACATTCACGTTGAGATGACGAAGGTTAAAGCATGACACCTCTTGCTTTTATTAGGACAGCACCAGTTTTTCCAGAAGCTTCTACTAGTTTTCTCCCTAGTGTGGATCACATGACTCCCTGTAACTCTGAAGGTGGCTGGGAAGAAGCATAAGGATTTTCAGCCTCTTGGAGAGGTTGACTGAGACGAGATATCCAGCCACAGCTTTGGCCACTGGATGAGCCTTGGGCAATACGTGGAAGGCTCTTCGATGTCCTATAGTAAAGTAATCCTCCCTAAAATAGAAATGAAAAATAGCCATTTGATCTCTTCAGGAAACATTTTCTGAACCCCTCTCCATGGCAGATGGTACATGGCTCTCCACTGATAAAATGATGGAGCTCTTCCCCTTGTAGAGTGTTAATGGTTGGTGTCATGCATCTGCATGAACAATTTATGTATTATTCTCATGCTTATTGCTCTGGAGCAAAGGGTCCTTGTGGAAGGCTTTCACAGCTAGGAGACAATGCGAACTACAAATATATTTCAGGAGATATAAAATAGAGGGTGAGTCCATGCTATTTGTCAGCAGTACAGGTGACTGGATAAGTGCAGAGTTCTGTGGTAAAAATATGGAGGAAGCAGAGGAAATAAGTTCTCAAATAGTATTTTCTTCATAGGTGTTCTTTTTCAGGAGCTTTGCCTTCCTATTTAGGTTTTGCTTTAGTGACATTTCTTAAGTAGAGGGCAGCTGATTTTTTATTAAAGGGAGTAATCTAGAAATTGTATAAACCTATATTGAAGTAAAATGTTTCACATTAGTAAAAATTGATTTGCTGATAAGTTTTTGTTTTTCTCCACTATTTTCCTAAATTTCTTCAAGTGACTTACCTTTGTGTAGAAGTGTGTCTTCTCAACAAAGCCAGGATTTCGGACCTAATGCTGACAAAAAGAGCAAACTGCATTTCTGAGGGTGAACCTGCTGTCATATGATTCATTTATTTCATGCAAAATGTTAATTTATGGAACGATCAAGCTCAAGAAAGACTTGTACAAATCATGCTACTTTCCTAGGAAAAACAAGCTTAAATAGCACATGATTTCTCTTATATGAGGAACCCAAAATATTAGTAAAGCACAAAGTAAAAGAATAGGAAACAAGGAGATAGGTCTTTTGCAGAAGGGAAGAGGACCAAGAGATGGAGGGAGAGGAGCAGGAGACAAAAGGGATGAATAAAAGAATTGAGATCTGTTATGTGTACCAGGTCCCCACAATGAATGTAATTGTGTAATGCAAATAGGTATTACAAAAAAAATCAACAGGTTTTTTTTTTTTTTTTTTTTTTTTTTGCCTTTCCCAGTCTCAGGTCCTGTAGGTTTAAAAGCAACATTTTGAAGTGACCACTATCACTTAAACCATCAATTACACATTGGCATTATTATTTAAGATAGAATCAAAAAAATGTTGAGATTAGATTACTGTACAGCTATCATAAATGTGTTGATTTGTGGAGGTTATGCAAAAATGTGTGTGATAGGATTTGTTGATACCACAAGGTTTACGATGTGATTATAAGTTTGCAAAAACAAAGTGATTCTAGAGATGATAATGGTTGCTTTTAGAAAGTATGCTAATTTTCTACTTCTCTGCATTTTCAAAATTTTATGACAAATCAGTTTGTATGAATTGCTGCAACCGTGTTCAGCAAGTCAACTTCCAAAGGTGAGAGAATCAGATGAAATGGGCGGGCCTGGTCTATTCTCTTCTCAGCTGCTGCAAATCTAGCTGTTATTCCCTTTCTGGGTATAAATCTCTCTTTAAATAAAATGGGCTTCTAATATCTCTCCTTAAAAAAATGGGCTTTTAATGGTTTTATAATTTTACTCTATAGAAAATAAATATTTGGGCACTCAGTGTTAAAAAGTTCTAAGAAACTCAAAATAGGGGCTGCGGATTTAGCTCAGCGGCAAAGGGCCTGCCTGGCAAGCACAAGGTCGTGAGTTTGGTTCCTGGTACCGGAGAAAAACCAAAAAAAAAAAAAAAGAAACTCAAAATATAACTTCATCTGAAAGAAGGGAAAACAATCCAAGAATGATTCAACTGCATAATTCAATCAGAAAGAAAATGTCCATTGTGTTTTTCTGGAATTATAACATTTCAAATCACAGAATGCACAAAATTTTGATGGGCTTTCAGATGATTTATTATCATACTGTACATGCAGATTGCTTTACAAATTTCCCAGTAGCAAGGCATAGGCTTCTTTTGGCATATTTTGACAATCTGAGTAAAGTTACAACAAGTAACATTGTCCCTCACTCACTAAGGTAAATTTCCACAGTTAGTCTATCAATGTCCATTTTGGCTCATGTCATGAAATCTTTCTTCAAGTTCCTGGAAAATATCCTCCCCTCGTAATGAACAAATTTAATCATAGAATTGGATTGTCCAACGTGAATCCAAGAAGTGACAGTGAGTTCCCATAGTATTTGCCCTAGCTTCAGGTAATTTGGAGAGCCAGTGACTGTCACGTTTCATCAGTACAAAATGAGAACTCTCTGGTCAGTCACCACAGTGGGAGAATATGGTAGCTCAAAAAGCAAATGGGCATGATTTTGATGAATTCTCTACAAATATTTTCTCTATTTACATTTATAACCAAGCCAGACAATACACTTACCTAAAATATTATAATATATCTTTGTAGTAAGGAGTCAATAGCACCATTTTGACAAGTTTTTAAAATGAAATGTTCACAGATTTTTTTTTCCCAGTGCTTTTAGATTAGAAGTTGGGAAGGTAACTCAACGATCTTTCTGTAAACTTCTATATTTATACTTTGTCCTCCAAATCTGCTAGCTCTTGATTTTGTATAATGATTTGGAGTCTAATTACTGGATCTGTAAATTTCCTGGATGTGATGATATTCCATTAATTTAATCCCACAGTTGCTGTTGAGGTCTCTTTAGTCAAGAAACCTGCCGACAACCCAGGAATACTGATTTTACATCTAAGAAAAACTAGAGAAGACATACAAGATAATGTCACATGAGCCTAAAAGCTACTTATTGGAAGTTTACCTCTCTCAGTACTTGCTAACCTATGTTTTATACCCTAATAGTATCTCTACTTTTTAGCTTCTCTTCCATCACTGAGATGATAATTTTTGCCCTAGCTCTATTTCACTTGCCCTGTGAAATAATGTAGCCATTCGCTAATCACAGACATTATCAGAAAGAAGCTAGGTTGCAAGACGACAAGTATTTATACTGCTGTCTGAGCCCCGTTGGTAATTTTTAAAAGTTTCTTGAAGATGGATGTGAAAATACTGCCTGCGATGACTGATATAAAAAGTCCATGTAAATTAAAACAGAGGGATGAAGAAACAACTTGACAGTACAAGATTGATCTTTGGGGTAAAGCAGTTCTGATCATTTCAAATTTTGTGCTTTGAGGCTTTGCTTCCTGTAAGTTGTGTCTAGTTCAGGTCCTGTGGGAATTGCCCTTTCAGGTCAGACAGCTTAAGAGAGTTGAAATAAAGAGAACAGTAACCTTGACTTGGGCCTCCACTAGCAAAGCTTTAGCAAGTAGATGATTTTCTCGATGGGAGTA